TACGAGCGTGAGAAAAATAGTGAAGAAACGAAAATGTACAAGTTAGTTAATATACTCGAATCAATTCTAAACTACGCGACTCGACGTCGCGGCGCACGTTTAGAGGCTCGGGAAAAAATGTTTCATATAAGAACATATATAAATATATGTATAATATAAACATATATACAAATATATAATTATATATAATTATACATAATTAAATGCGAAATATATCCGTACATGATATCCATATATGTTTCTTTTCTTTGTTATTGTTAAATTATTGTTTGATACCAGAAAAATGATAATAATAGAAAGAAAATATAAAAAATAATTAAAAGAATAATTTCTGCATTGTTTTTTTTCAAAAAATCAAGTTTTAAGAAATGAGAAAAAATTGTTCATATATAATTATATATGTATATTGTTAATGATTTATATATGATTATATATAAGCAATTTTTCTCATTTTTTCAAACTTGATTTTTTGTAAAAAAAACAATTTGAAAATTATTCTTTTAATTATTTTTTATGTTTCCTTCTTATTATTATCATTTTTTTGTATTAAAGAATAATGTTACAAAGGAAAGAAATATATTGGATAATGACATATTTTGCATATAATTATATATAATTATATATTTTTATATATGTTCTTATATGAAAATTTTTTTCTTGGGGATGCAGGACGCGGTCAATCGTGGTTTGATTTTCTCATCCCGTGAACGATTACATAAACAAAATCTCAGGATTAAATGACCGCGGCTAATCGGATACGTAAAACCTTGCCTGATTCGCTCTCCTCTCGCGCGGAGGCACGCGGCTTCCGCCTACTTGAAACGCGACTCGATCTCCTCCCGTTTTATTTATATTCCTAAGGATAACTCACTCGAATTGTGAACAACGTTCTAGACGTTAGCATATATATAGAGCAAGATTGGTACAATGGGATTGTAACGTTAATTAATTTCCGTTTTTCGCGTCACGTTGAACGTGCTACGCTACATGACACGTGTATAACATATACACGTATTGTATAATACACACACGTACGTCTACACGCAATTACACGCACACGACACACGTACGCGATGTGAGTGCATGGTTGTCTCTGTGTGTATGTATGTACGCGACACGTAAGCATCTCTATATGTGATGGGCGATCGCCACACGTTCATGTCAATAAAATTCACATTGTAACTAAGCCATTAGAATTGCCGCCACGACGAACGGAACGAATCGACGAATACGAACGTGCGATATGAAAAGTGTAACGGGAATCCGAGGATTCGCCGCGCGTTATCCTTTTGGCGACACGTGCGAAATCGACGTTTACGTTTATAGAAATCTATATAAATATCGTATATTATGGGTTTCATTGAAACTTTATAAAACGTTGCCAAAAACGAATCGATTTACAGATTGAATTTCAGCAAAGTACATAATTCCGCAGAAATTACAAATAAATTAAATTATTTTTTATCTTAGTTCTTTTCTATTAAAAATTTTCTTAATTTCTATAAAAAGTTGTTTATACTATTCAAGATGTTATTTGTTATTACGTTGTGCAATTGGTTATCTTCTGTATTTGATTAATCTTAATTTTATATTTCTGCTATTAATATTTATTTATATAAATATATGCGGTACTTATTTCGAAGTTGCCACATATGATATTTTTTGAGGGCTTTTCATCGAATTTGAAATCGATCTTAGCAATTTGTTAATCAAAGGAAAGAATTTTCAATTTAAAAAAGTGTTAAATATTAAATTAATGTGACATATAATAGTAAATTCAGATATCTAAAATATTTTCGCAATTATTAAATATTAAATACCTAATTAGAATTTTATTCAAATTAAAATCCTTTCACGTGTATTCACGTGAAATATATAATTTTCCAAGATTCCTAAACTTATAATAATCACACAAAATTTAATATTCGCCGCCAGGAAGTCTTTTTCGTTCTGTCCTGAGTTAATTCGGAGAGTCCGCAAGATATCATCTCGTGCGATTTCTCTTCGTGTACGTTAATTATATTCGCGAGATACATACCTATGCGTTTATCGTGATTGTTTTTTGAGAATCGCCGTATATTCGGCAGCGTCACTTTGCGCACGTCGGCCGCCTCCGCGACAGAGCCATTTATTGCATTATGCCGCATATCTGATTTGCGTGATGCAGATCGATTTCAGCTTCGGCGTTCAAAATTAGTAAAAAAAAAAGAAGCTTCGCGAGACTCACCGTGGGCGCCAAACAATCGGACTCGTTGCTCGACGAGACGTAATCGAGACCCCGAGATGCGGTTACTTGCGTCGTCCGCACAGCCAGTCGGGAATTATAAGTGGCAGTCTCGATGCTCGACTGCAAAACGCATGAATATGTGTTAAGAAATACGCGTTCATATTGTTAGCGCCGACAGCCCTGTACGTCACCGAGATTACTTACTGACAGAATACAGCTTGATTTGAACGGTCATCGGCTGGATGAACGACGATTCGCGTTTATGCGGATTGCGGCGATTCCCCATTTGCACTTCGTATTCGTCGAGGGCGCGAAAACTGCACTCTCTCGGTCGCAGTTGCCGATTGGTGATCCGACGCAGTCGCGGCACGACCGCGCGCTATTTTTTAAAATTGTGTGATAAGAGACCTATAGCGAAGCGCGATGTGGTTTTACGTAACATTGCTACGTTGTTGTAAATAATAAATAGATTGTACGTTGCATATATTACGCGGTTGATCGTGCACATTTGTCCCCTTATGACTTATCGTGTAGACATCCTGAGCATATATATATATTTGTTGATTGACAAAATTAATTTATTAAAAAGATTTATATCGAAAAAATTAATCAAACTAACTTGTTATAAACTTAAATTATTCGAAGATTTTTTCAACATACATACAGGGTGTTCATAAAGTATTGGACCGTCCCTCTATCTCAGAAAATAGAAGGGAAATTTCCTAAAAGTTTTGTATTTAAAGTTTTTTATCCAGTTAGTATTTTCTGAGATAGAGGGGGGATCCGATTCTTTATGAACACCCTGTATAGTTACTACGCAGAAAATTGTGATAAAATTATTATTCACTATATATTGCAGAAACAATATTTTTTATGTAAGTTACTTGCTTTGTTTAACCGAATATATAATTAATAGTTGCAATTAGCAAGTCATTGACTAAACTTGGAATTTTTCTAAGCAAACTATATTGGGATTTAAAATACAAATAAAATTTAATTGGATTAAAACTAGTTCAAAAAAGCCCACCTCCCCGCCGATTATAATCATCTCGTCCTCTTTTTTTTCCAGACAACAATAATAGCTAATGGCATCAATATGATGACAAATAACGTTAGCTGTCCGTGTTAATCGTGCTGCATCCACAATTTGTGGACAAAACTGTTTTCTCTGCTGAACGCAGCCAATGGACGTGCGGCGTGCGGCGCTAGTGTATGTACGGATGAGTTCGTCGGTCCCACGAAATAAGCCGGGACGGCCGCTCTCAAGCTTCTCGTTCTTTCTGCTCTTTGACTGAGCATTACATACCTATCTTAACCATACCTAACCTAACTTTCTATTTCCCAAGCGGCAAGCACGCGGAGCACTCCAAGCACCGGCCATCGAGTATAGTATATCATACCAACGCCGTCCAACGCACGTGTATGTACAATCGTGGACACATCGGTTGCGACACATTCTTTTTTATAGATTTCAAAACGCACTAATATTTTGCAAATGCGGACCACGATTGGTGTTATACTGTC